GCCCTGCTTCCCTGGGCCAAGTCAAACAAGGATATTGTCCTTTTAATGTCTTAAAGGCTCTGTTTTCTTGTAATGCCAAATGCAATATTTTTTTGAAAACACTACACCAGAAGTTTCCCAGCTGAGAAAACAGGCTGGTGAAAAATGGTTTCAGAAAATGAAATAAACCATGCAAAAGCTGTTCAGGGTGTGTGTATGAAATGAACATCTGGATTTGGCTTGTTAAACTGCCTCCTTTTTTTACCTCTCTACCCCTCCCCTTTCTTTTTCTCACAGCTGTTCGAAAGAGTCCTAAGGGCAAAGAGACAGGTCAATGGACTGGGTTACACCTTTTTTTCTTTTCCTTTTTTTTCCCGAACCTCTTTGCACCTACGCAAGGAATCCAGGCCACATGTGTGTTTAATAAGTAGGCACAAACACAAGAGAGAGAGAAAAAAAAAATCTCAATTCCTGTTGGTTCTTAGGAGAGACACTGAAGGAAAAATAAACTCCGGATTTCAAATTTTCTCTCTCAAAAAAAGAAACCTTATGGTTCCAATAAAATATTTCTTTAAAAACCCAATGGATTTTTTTTTTTTTCCTTAATCACGGTCTTTGCAAAATATATCTTTTTCTGTCTTCTTTTGGAGAGGTAACAATGGGTTAATCCCTTACCTGCTGCAGCAAGAGAAAATTATGAAATGCCAATGGCCTGGGTTCACTGAACTGAGTCTTCCTAGATACATACATTTATATTGAGTGGGTTCTTATTTAATTTCAGGCTGCAACTTCCCCAGTCCAGAAATGAAACAGAGAACAAAAGGAACTGAAAAATGATGTGGAGGTGAGGTTTTCTGAGTAGCAGAGGACTCGCCTCTTCCTCCTGCCAGCATGTCCCTGACGCTGCTACAGCCATGGGCAGGAGCAGAGCATCTTCCAGCTGTGCCAGGGCTGGAGGAAGATCCCTCACCTGCCTCTTTTAGCCAAGGTCTGAGAGTTCTGTTAGGTCTGGCCTTGGGTCCAGTGTCTTCACCACACATCTCAGCCACCAGGCAATGCTGCTGAGATATCCCCAGTCCACTGACAATGGCCTGCAGAAAAACCCCACTCCTTTGAGTCACTGGACCCTGATGGAGACACCCATGGAACAAGGACATCCGACCCGAGCAGACACTGACAGCAAACCCAGCCTCTCATCTGGAGCTACCCAGCTGTGAACAGTTCCTGTGCTCCCTGTGCACACTATCATAGAAAGATGGAACAAGTGCAAGGGACCCCTCAGGGTCCCCCAGTCCAGCTCCTGGCCCTGCACAGGGCACCCCAAGGGTCCCACCCTGTGCCTCAGAGCGGTGTCCAAATGCTTCTAGAACTCAGACAGGCTCAGAGCTGTGACCACTGCCCTGGGGAGCATGTTCCAGTGCTCATCCTGTGCATGAAAACTTCTTTTCTGATATCCAACCCAAACCTCCCCAACCCACAAGTGCAATACTTCTGTCTCAACTGACTCAGCTTTTCAGCTGAGACAGAAGTATTGCACTTGTGGGTTGATCTATATAAATACCCACCTCCTGCTGCTCAGAGGGTTTGCACACACAGGTGGAAGAGTTTATGATCCTTGTAGCAAACCTGAACCATGAATATTTACTCCACTTCCTTTTACTGCTGCTCCTCTGAATTCTGCTTGGGGATGGTTACAATATTGCAGTCCAGTAAGCACAAAAATAAGTCCCCAGATCCTTGAGTTTGTTTGAGGAATCTTACTTTGGATAGAAAATTGATGCTGAAAATTAAATATCTGAGTAAAAACCTTTTGGAAAACACAAGTGCTGGTGCCAGGAAAGAAGTTGTATTGCTTAACGTTAATGCTATAACTGAGACAAGGCAGTGATATTTCCTGGAAAAAGCCTTTGCACAGTAGCCTACATGGAAAAGCCAGTGCTTGGCAATGGGGGCTGCATTGAAGAGCAGCTGAAACACACAGCGAGAGGGCTGAGCTTTGGGAAGTCCTTCCACAGAGGAGAGGACAGTGCCTTTTGTTGGTGAGATGACCCTGGATTTGAACTACAGAAATACGACCAAAAAACGTGAACAACAATCAAATAGTACATAGAAAAAGGATCCCACTCCAGCCCCAGCACTGCCTGCCTGTCAATCCTAGGTCTGCATGGGATCCATGACAAGAAGACAAATCTAAATCTGAAATAGAAACCTACCAGTGGGTCGTTTTACGAGGGGGAATGGCTTCAGACTGAAAGGGAATCGGTTTCGATTAGTTATAGGGAAGAAATTGTTCCCTGTGAGGGTGCAGAGGCACAGGGTGCCCAGAGCAGCTGCGGCTGCCCCTGGATCCCTGGGAGTGTCCAAGGCCAGGCTGGACAGGGCTGGGAGCAGCCTGGGACAGTGGAAGGTGTCTGCCCATGGCAGGGGTAGAACAAGATGACTTTTAAGGTCTCTCCCAGCCCAAAGCATTCTGACTCTATGATGGTTCTATGATTCTTGCATTAAGCTGGTCCAATGATTGCTGTAGGCCACAATGTTTGGGCAGCAGAAATGAATTTGCTCCTATATTCCAAGTTTATATCTGCTTCAGTAGGGCTCAAAGACAGAATTACCTCAAAATCCATCTGAAAGCAAAATGAATTCCCCTTCTTTTCTCTCCTACTGTATTTTTTTTTTTTATAAAAGACCGTGAGAAGAGCATGGAAGTGAATATTATTTATGGAGCACCTAATAAAAATGCTGTGGGGAAATAATTACTGGAAACATCTGACTGTGTGACTGTAAATGCCTGGGCCCCAGCACACTGATTTAATGGACCACTGCTCTACTCTGCTATGCCTTGTGCTACTGACTGCAAACCCCCTGCCCTCCTATTAAACCCCTCACATTGCTGGTAGATCAGGACTGGATTCTGCAAGGTTTGTGGCAATTTTCCACAGAGGGATAATGTGAGCAGGGGTGACTCTGTGTTCACAGAGAGGCCTGAAGCCAGCCCTGGGAGAGAAAAAGTGCTTTGTGAAGAAATCACAGTGAAAACCTGGAGAATTTGTGGTTCTGGGACTGAATAATGTGTCATAATCGAGACACCAGGTGCTTTAGGTATTTCTGAAAGACACTGGTTAGATGTTAACTCTTCCCCTTTTTTTTTCTTTTCAACCCATTTATCATTCACAAGCCAGCAAAGATTTTCATTTTTGGCTGTTATTTTCTCTTCAATATCCCTTTAAGACCTCCTGAACCCAGTGCTACAAAGCCATGCAGCCTCCCTGCACAAAGGGCACTTCTTACTCAGAAATACTTCCATCCCCTCCACTGTTTCACAGATAGATGCAAAAATGTTAAAATTCACAAAACACCTTGTAAGTGATATGAGAAACACAAGGATTTGAAGTTCCTGCTTTCATTTGCAAAAACAGTCCTGGAGAAAGACCGGAGGGCTATCATTTAACTGCTGCTGCTGACTTGCTAAATGAAGAGGAGAAAGTAAAAGGCAGCTCACTGCCACACTGACAGCAAGAACAAAATCACATCCACTCCTTCTGAACCCAGCAGTTAGCATGTTTTTTTGGTTTTTTTTTCCTTTCCTTTCTTTCTTTATTGATGGTTTTAATGTAATATTTAAGTTGGAGCTAAAACAGACCATGGAACCTTAAATCACTACCAAATGCAAATTTACCTATATATCTGAACTCCATTTTCTCCTACATTTACAAAGCAAAATTCTACCATTTGAACTGCAAGCTCCTATTGCATTTAATGGGAGGCAGCAAACTCCAGACATTACTTGGAATATACATGCACTTATCTTGTTGTTACAGGTCTCCCTCGCAGAACTAAAAGAGAGCTTTAGTACCAGACAGTATCTCTCTGGGGTCATACCCAATGAATAGTGTTTTTTGAAAGGATTATTTCAAAGGAACTCTGAAAAAGAATCTAATGACTTGCAAGCTACAGGATTGCAGCATGGGAGGAAGCAGATAATGGAATATGACAGCAATGCATTTTTCATAAACCCAGTGATTTCTATCATAACGAGAAGCCCATCTATAATTCGGAGAACTCCCCCCCAGAAGGAGACCTGCACTGTTGCAGAAAGTGCACTGGAGTACGAAATGAAACAATAATGATGATGATGTTACTGATGAGTCCCACAGCTCTGTCTTCCCTTCTGTCTCGCTGAGGTTCAGGCAAGAGGAGCCGTTGCAATCCCCCTCTGCCTCGGCATCACTAACCAGGGAAGCTCAGAGCACACATCAGAGACCTCATGATAGATGCGAAGCCCCAGAGAAGAGCTGCTCTTTATCTGCCGAAAGTTAAGGCCCTGCATCTGCTCTCAATTAGCAGGCAATTAGGGGAGTTGAAAACAAACCTGTTTACATTGGCTATGAAGTCTAAAATAATTTGTGAGATGTCAGGGCAGGATATTAAGATGTTAATGATCTTGTTTCTGTACTTTGTTGCGTGCGCTGTATATCGCACCTTCCTTCCGCGGCTCCGCGCACAGCGCCGGGCTGATCGGCTTCTGGGAGGGAGAGAAACCCCCAGAGGCTGGTTTGGATGGCAGGAGAAGTTCTGTTTACAAATAATACATATGGGAGACCCGAGGACAAGGGCTTCTTTGGAAAAAAAAATAAATTAAGGGGTGGATGTTCATTTGTAACTGTGAAATAATGTCACATCATGGCTTACAGCCTTCAGAGGTTTCAACCACAATTCCCATCGTAAAGGCCCAGGCTGTAACCTCCTGTCAGTGTCAGAAACGGGGACTGAAAAAACCCAAAAAAGGCTGTTTGCAATCCTTTCCTGGGCTTATTCCCCCAGCTCTCCCTCTATATAAGCCCAGCCAGGCAGGTGACTATGGCACAGGGAGGTTGCTTGCCCCACTGAGACATCTAAGAACAACTGTGACCTCTGAGCTTCAACCTAACATTTGAGATAGGGTCCTGCTTATTTCTGTGTCCCTTCCTTACAAATATCTATTTACACCATTAATTTTCCAGAGGAAAGTTTTCACCACTGACCTCTCATTTCAGCAGCATCACCAGGGGAAGGTTGCTTAATGTTCAGCTTCTTGGCTTCACTTGGGTCATTTCTGGGCAGCCACATGAAAAAAGGTTTGCACAAACATTTATTCTCCTTGGGCAGAAGGATGAAAAGCAGCATCAGCATCCTTTGTTTCTGAAATCACAGAATTCGTTTCCATCAGCACAATACAATACAAGAACAGTGGAATTGATGAGGAAAGTGCAGAAACACCTGCCTGGAATGTGCATTTTGTACCTTATTTAATACAATCAGTACATTCTTACTGGCTGCCCACATTAATTCTGTCAAACTTGCAGTGGGGCTTATTGCCATATTGACCTTATATGACACAGTCATCACATCCATCTTTGAGCCACCAAAAAAAAATTCTAGTAAATAATCCACTGCAAGTTGACAAAATTAAATTTTTACTGTTCCCACTAATGAACCCTGTTACCATAATTATTTATGTCATGTAAACAGAGCTCTGAGTTCACCCTGCCCTCAACAATTCAAAAAGCCAGAGAACAAAAAGTGCACCACAGGTGCCGCTGTGCCCTCTTGTGTTCTCCTTTGGGCCATCTCCTCTTGTCCTCTTGGCTTTTTTCACCATACAATATGGATCCAGCTCTAATAAGAGCCAGGTGCTCAAGTCCCCAGGCTACAAAATAGCTTTAATTACAGTATTAATAGCATTCTGCTAAATCAGAAAAAAAATCCCAAATAGGTCAGTATTAGTGGTTATATTTTTCAATGTCCTGGTGCTTGTTTTCTTTCCAATTTTATGTTTCTTACTGGCATTTATAATGCCTGAGAGACATTCCAGATGCCAAAATAGAGGTGATCTGATCTTCACATGATATTCCTAACTTTCCACAAGAAGAAATAGCAGGAGGAGATCAGATCTACATTACACCAGCCCCAGAGGTACACCCTTGAGTCTTGACCTCCTTAGATGAAAAGCAGAAGAGCTCAGTATTTATTAGCATTTATTGTTATTATCTTAATTGCTACTATTAAGCATCCCATGAAATATATTAATATAAATAACACAAACACAGACATTTGAAAAATGAATTCAAGCAGGAAGACACCTCATATTTACCAAATATTAAATTAAATTTCTTTAATACTTTCCATTAATAACTCTTGCAGATGCCTCCTGCATGAGTCAGTCAATACTAAAGGTTAGGATGAATGTGGACAGTATGGGAATGCCAGCTGAGCTCCTTGATGGAGACTTATTGAAAAGATTAAAACGGGGGCTTTTTTAAAAGAAAAATAATATTCTATTAATGTAGATTCTGCCATTAACATTCATATTAAGCCAGTTTACTTCAAAAGTTGAAAAAATCGAACTATTGCTGGTTCATTTGCTGGTGTAGGGAGCCTCTCTTGCAGTAGGGGGAGAGGGAGCCATAAGCTGGCAATTCTGTTCCATGAAGGCTTGGAAAGAAATTTCTAGTCTTCAGGGTGCTGGAAAGAAAACTTTTCCAGAACTTTCTCAGCAGGAAAATCATGGCCATGGGCATCACAGCTCTCCTGACTGTGCAGCCCCACCATGGGGTGCCAGGCAGTGATCCCTCCTCTATGGCCTCTTCATCCAGACAAGCAAACCAACACCTCAACATCCACCTGCCAAATCATGTCCCCTCTGCTGCTTCCACCCCTCTCACCACCAGCAAAACCTGGGCAGGCACCAAATCCATTGTAAGCACCCTGGCCCCATGGAAGGTGTCAAGAGAGGGTGGCAAGAGATGGTTTTTAAGATTCCAACCCAAAGCTTTCCATGATTCTGTGATTCAGCCGGTGACCACGCAACGAGCTCAACACTTTCACTCCCAGCTCCACTGACTCCTCAGTACCAAGAGTAGTAAAACATGGTTTTGTCAGTAAACTACAGTGCTGTGACTCAGCCCCTGACACACAGGGTGCAGTCACCGTGTGTACAGTAACACAGTGCCATATTTAGAGTTTCTGACCATAACCACACTTGCAAAAAACTGCATTAGATCAGCAGCCAGTTTCCCGGACTCCCACTCCTTGTTTCTGACTTCAGGAATTCAGATTATTTGTCTTGTACCAAATAAAGTTGCTTAGGAGATAAAACAGTAAGAAGGAAAAACAGAGGGGCCTAACAATTAGCTTTAATCTGTTCTGTCTTGAATAGATAATGCTTATAGAAGAAAACAGCAGACAGTAAAGACACAAAAATTGCAGCAAATTGAAACCTAACATGAAAATAAACCTTTCCCCTTGATTTTTATTTTTAAACTTTGAATGTCATCCTTAGCAGCACATAAGTAATTTGCAGAAATACTGTGCAATCCTCATTAACTATATTTGTCCTCTTTAAGGCTGCCTGTAAATATCAGCACAGGCAGAGCAGAAGACCCACAGAGGAAGGTGTCTGAGTTTACACCGTGGCTACTGCTGCTTTCTGCACTCAGCTCTCAGGAGGGAATGCTGCAGCTGGCTGAGTTCAAGACTTTTTTTTTTCCCATAAAGAGCAGGTTTGCTGCAGTGTAAAGATTATCTTACTTAGTTTTCTTTTTGTTGGCTTTTTTCTTGTTTGGGTTTTTTTTTTTGTTTTGGTTTGGTTTGGTTTTGCATTTGTTTTGTTGTTTGGTTTGTTTTTTAATAAATTCAGGTATTGCTGGTAGGATGAAGAAAGTCAGGAGACTCAATCACACAGGATGTTTTGGGATTAGAAAGGATCAGAAGCTCATGCTTTCATTGCAAGAAAGAGTGTTTAACAGTGAGTCCAGATGAGATCAAAGATACCTGTCCTGGGAAAAGCAAGGCAGATAAACATCGTCACTTAGAGAAGGTGATGAGTGCTGGGAGAGGGGATCCGGGACATATCAGATAACTCTGACTTAGGTCCCAAAGCATCCCCTGTCTGCAAGGAAAGGGAGGCCTATACAGGTGTATTTATTATTTTGTCTACACTTCTTTCTTTCCCATGCTATTTCAGAGAGAATCACCTGCAGCAGCTGCTCCCAGGGAATTGCAGGGATAACACCTGCGGGCTTGGGAGTCTAAGAAAAAGTCATGGACTTCAAGTGCAAAAGGTCACGGCTGGTCCTGTGGTTTTAGTGCAGCTGCACCACAGAGTTTCACTGCCTCGAGTACACTGCCAGGCACTGAAGGAGAGAGTGTCCAGCAGCTGAGAGCTGGCACAGAGGCCAGGGGAAGTCCAGAGCCTGGAGAGCTGCCCTGGAGAGCAGGAACTGAAGCCTTTCCAGTGTCCACTCACTTGTCCATTGTCGTGGGCAGAGGGCACAGCACTGGCACACCCCAACCAGTGCAGTACTGAGTGACCCCTGCATAGCAGAAACTAAGTCAATCCACTCGAAGGCAAAACTGGGCTAGAAAACTGCTCAGCATATTCTTTTTAATGAATATACACAGCCTCTGTTATGATGGGGTTTTGTTCTGGGTTGCTTTTTTTTTTCATTTTTATAGAAATAATCACAGAATGGTTTGTATTGGAAGAGACCTTAAAGATTGTCTTGTTCCCCCCCAGGGAAGTCACCCTGTAGATCAGGTTACTCCAAGCCCCATCCAGACTGGCCTTGGATATTGTAAATGCAGGCGAACCCAGTGGGAAGAAATGATGATGTCTGACTCAATTCAGAAGGCTGAATTATTTCTTTATTATAACTATGCTAAAATACATTAATATGCTATATAAAAGGAGGATACTAAAACTACTACTTTCTCTGACTCTAACCTAACTGGTGACCCTCTCTGAGAGCCCAGCCCCAGGTGGGTTGGATTGGCCATCAGGCTCAAACAATCCTCACCAGAATCCAATCAAGCACTCACCCCAGGTAAACAATTCTCCAAAAACATTCCACATAGGAAAAACAAGGAGCAGAAATAGAAATTGTTTTCTCTTTCATTTCTCTCTGTGCACGTCTATGAAAATCGTGAGAGGGAGAGAAATGTGCTTGCCACACTTGGACACTTCCAGGGAAGGGGCAGCCACAGCTTCCCTGGGCAACTTGTGCCAGGGCCTCCCCACCCTCACATGGGAGAACTGCTTCCTAACATTTGATCTAAATCTCTCCTTCTAATTTTAAACCATTGCCCCTTGAAAAAAAAAGATAATGGTAAAAATGGTCATAAAGGAAATTGTCTTTTGATCCATTTGGATTTGTTTAAGTGCTGGGTTTTGAAGAACCCTCTTCTATCAATAGCACTAATAGATCCTACTGACCTGATTCCTTTGGGTCCGTTTCCAGAGCAGGGAAACAGCTGTGTCCAGCTATCCAGCTGAGACTGAAACAAGAAAAAAATCAGAACTCTGACAATTAAGACACTTAGCAGTTTGCTATTTTACAGCAGACCCTGGAAATCCTTTAGGTGGGCTCTCTCTCCTTTCCACCCTTTTCTCCACTACAAAAAGCCCAGAACAGCTCTGGGTCACCCACCAGCTCTCTGGAGGCTGGCAGCTCCGGGAGAGGGGCTGGCTGGCTCTGCTCTCTCTGTTTATTTTCTGGGAAGTCAGGTCTGGTCAAGTGGAATGAATCTTGTGTTCATTTTAAGAAAGTTTATATTTGACTCCGGTAGGGCTGGGGAGGAGGTGAATGATAGGAAGAGGAGGGAAGGACCAGAGACCTTGTGGGGCTGCCCCCACAACACCACAGGCAGCCCCATGGCCAAGGCAGCAAGAAAATGAAGCAAAGCACCAAAATCAAACATGCCTGTTGTTGTTTTTCCTTCCTTTAAAGCTGAGAGATGACTCTAAAGCTAAATCCAGCTCTCACTCCACAACTGACCTTGCAGCTCATGAAAAAAATGTAAACTAAATCCCCTACTTTTAAAAATCATCTTCTAAACTGTGGAAAAAAACCCCACTTCCTAACATTGCAGCACAACCTGACTCATCCTACAGCAACCATCTCTTTTTGCTACCCACACCTTGTGGAACTCAAAGTCTCATCTGCCACTGCTGCCTGCAAGACCAAGCAAGGGGATGATTTTTTTCTTGCAGTTCTTGGAGCAATTCTGCTGGGACAAGGCACAGAGTGGAAGTGGAGAAAGGAGCTGAACCAGCCTGGACTTTCACATGAGCTCTGCACAGTTGCATGAAGCACTTTTAAAAATTTTTAGGCTGTATCCTCAAAGCAGAATAACCGTAAAGAGTTGATGCAAATCCGCGGCTTTTCACCTTTTGCAGGGCATCATTCCCTGCCCAGGAACTGTGTGGAGGGAGTGTCAGCAATCCTGCCTTGGCTGCTCACAGAGGAAGCAGTAAATGGAGATGCTCTGTGCAGACTCTGTGTTCCCCATGCGGTGTAAACCAAAACCAATTCCTGCAATTCTCTGCAATAATATAGAAGGTTTGCTGGCTACTTCTCCCATCTGTCTCTTGTGGGTATAGACTCCTGGCCTCTGAGGAAACCAAGAATGACATCCCACTAGATTTATAATCACTGGGATTTATAAAATACAGTGTTGTTGTTACATGCCTTGAAGTGAAAGGGGAAAATAAATAAATAAACAAGACGGGCATCGCCACTGGAAAAAATAAATAAAAATCTGATCTCAATCAACCAACCACATTTACTACTCTGCATCCATGGCCAGGCTCGCTGCATAAACCACCCCTGTCAGCCCTTCATTCTTTCCAATACTTCTTAGGAGCATCCCTCTTCTTCAACACAACATCCCTGATTTCAAAAGCCAGACACAAATTAATTCCGGGAATCCTACGGCGGGGAGACATTAAAACCCATTTAGAGGTTTCTGTGGAAGGCTCTCTCCGTGCCTATTTCAGGCAGCTCAGCCCCGGCGTGGCTCGCTGGAGCCAGCCTGGAGGAGCAGGAGGTCACAGGTCTGCGGCGGATGCAGGGACACGCCAGCCTGGCATGAGGCAGCCACCGAGGGGATGTCTCTGCGGAAGGCTGGGAGGAGGAAACTGGGCAGATCACTGTTGCAGGGAATTAAATTAAATATTTCTCTTTTTTTTTTTTAATTTTTTTTTGCTTTTTAACTCCTTCATTCTAAGTCGAGGCATTAAATCTCACAGGTTTCATTTGCAGAGACCAGCTGCCTTCAAGATTTCTGCTACAACTCTCCATGGCTGGGATAAAGAAATGTGGTAAAAAAAGGAGGAGTGGAGGCTCTGTGTTCAGAAGAATTGTCTAACACATCTTTTGGGGTCTGAAGAAAGGAAGAGGCTTCCTGTCGACCTGGAAGTTTAAATTACTCCTCAGGGTTAGGTGTTAAGAAGCATCACTCCTTCCAATATTTATTATCCCCCTGGTTCTCTTTCCAAATGGCCGAGTTACAATGTGCAAATGGCTGGGAGGACAAGGACAGGGACCTGTCCCCTGGCTCACCTGGCCTGCAGTCGGGAGGGTCCCTGGGTCACACATCAGCTGCACCGCAGCTGCCCGGCTGCACTTTAGCTGCTGGCACAGAGCATTACAGCACATTTTCTTCTCTCTAGCTCATACAAATGATGCATTTTGTCAATAACCCCACCTATTCTTATATTAATTTTATGGGGACTTTTTTTTTTCCGGGTATTGTCAAACCTTGCTTCAGACAATCCATGGGTAAAATAAACATTTCCTGAAGATACATTTCCTTCCTTTGTGCTTCAGAAGAGGAAGAACACCTTGTCCTAAGCGGATATGGTGAAAGGTTTGGGTTGTTTCAGGGAATTGACCATCATTAGGAGCTAAGCTCATGCCTTCATTTGTGACTTACCTGGTATTTTTAAGAGTAGACAAGAGCACTCAGTGTCATGTCCACCTTTTAAGACTGGTGTGGTCAAAACTCAGCAATTGCCTCAAAATTCTCTGGATCAACATCCACATCTGCAGTGGATGTTGGTGAACATCCCACATCTTCATCTAGGACCAACCCAAAACCTCAGCCCTGCTGACTCCCCCAGCATTGGGCTATGTTTGAACCAGCCACTGATGCAATGATTATATTGGTTTGTGTCCCTTCAGGAGCTACAAGCTGAAGCCAAAGTGGTCAATTGCTACTCACGGAAAATAGCTGGTGAGAAAAAGAGTAAGTTGCTGTGTTACAATTGACATCCTCCTCACACCAACAGCCAGGATTTGAGATGAAGGTGGCAAAACTCCCCAGATATTCAGGTGTTGTGATAAACAAGAAACAAAGTCTATTACAGCCTTTTGGGGGAGCCAGTCCAACCACAAAGGCACAAAGGAAAATCTGAAAAAGGACATAAAAACTTATATTCAGAGGAGATTAGTTCTTACAAGTATTTCTCCCCCCTACTACTTATATGATATTGTAGTTTATATAATATTTGTAGTTACAGGGCAAAAGGGAATGGTTTTTAAATGAAAAGAGAGTAGGTTTATATTAGGTGTTTTGAAGAAATTCTTCCCTGTGAGGTTGATCAGGCCCTGGCACAGGGTGCCCAGAGCAGCTGTGGCTGTCCCAAGTGGGGACAAGGCCAGGAAGTGTCCAAGGCCAGGTTGGACAGGGCATGGAGCAACCTAGGACAGTGGAAGGTGTCCCTGCCCCAGGAGGGTGGAATGAGATGATTTTTAAGGTCCCTTCCAGCCCAAACTTTTCTGTGGTTCTATGATATTTCTGCATTGTGGGAGTCAGTAAAGTGAGATTGCAAAGCCAGTGCAACACACTGATTACTTTCAGTCCAGACAACAACAGAACAGACATTTTTTCATGGGTAGAGATGGACAAAAGAGTATTATTTAGAACCCCTGCAGGCCTAGGATCCAGACAGCTCATTTTAGTAGTTTTTAGAGCCCCATTAATGTTTTTCTTTGTGTTAGTCAAGGGACAAGACTTGTTCTTGCCTATTATGGAGACCTATAGATTGCCTTTGGCAATCCCACTTTGACTGGTTGCACCTCAGTTTCCAAATGACACCAGGAAAACAAAGAGAGCTATCTGCCTCCTTACACACCTGGGGCCAGATGTTTTCTGACCATAACAGACAGGAACTGCTATTAGAAATCTGCCTTAGACACAGACCATGCCTATAAATGCTTGAGGAGACAGTCTCAAAAGCAACATTTCAGGGAACAGAAACTAAATGCAAAGGAACAGAAACTAAATTCCTTGAAAGATCTATAAGAAAAAAAACAAACAAAAAAACCAACACAACAGACACATCAATTATTTAGCAAAACTCAGATGTCCATTAATGGCCACTTAGACAGGGTTTTGGCAGGATATACTCTTTACTGTGCCACTCTTGTATCCCTGTGTAGCTGCCCATTTTGCTTTGGTGGGTTTGTGAGTCATTTCTGCTCCTGTCAATGGGCTGAGGCTCCTTATTACCATACCAGCTCCCAAGGCCAGCACCCAAAAAAGCCTTCCATGGACCAGTGAGCAACAAAATCCAGTCAGCAGCCCCGGGATGAAAGGAACTGTGGCAGATATTGGTTTTTTTTTTCAGCTGTAAATCAGTAAAGCCTCATTTTACTAAAATGTGTGATCGGATCTTTGCCTCTGCTACCCAGAAAAGTTTTGTAAGGTGATAGAGACCAGAATCTGGCCAAGGAACACAGAAAACTCGGAGAAGTCATATTCCATGCTCTTGGGTGCCGCCTGCAGGCTTTGGAACTTCAGGTTCCAGACCCACATTGAATGTAGTCACTCGGGGAATAAAAAGGGGACTTATTGCATTAAAACTCTAGAGAAATCAAGGATTGAAAATATGAGAGTTTTTTGAATCAGTTTTGAGTAAGTAGAAGCTGAGATGGGCATTCTATTCTAACAATGAGTCTTCACAATGATTTAAACCCCAAAAATAAAATTTAATAAACAAGTCAGAGAGCCATAAACTCAAGGAGATCAGTGTGGGAGGAAACACATCCAAGAACACCCCCAGAAGCTGCTCTCTCTAACACAACATGGTGCTTTGATGAGGCCTCACAGACTTTCAGCCACCTAAGTGCCCATGAGGCTACTCATTCCAGCCCCAAAAGGTAGACCACATACAGAGACTCAGAGAGTTGCTGCTATTTTCAAGATCCTTTGTCCTTTTATTTTTTTTCCCATTCATTTTTGTAATGTTTCATGCTCCTGGACTACAGAAGCCCAGAGGCTCTGGCCTCAGTGTCCACAGACAGCCTCATCAGAGCTGTGATAGCAGAGCAGGAGAGGAATGTGCCTCCTGAATCACAGATTGGAGTTACCTGCCCATGGCCAAGGCTCTCCTGGAGGTCTGGCATCATTAGTGCCTTCCTGCACCTCTTTGTTATCTGGCTTTTTCACGAGACCTCGGAGCAGTTTCCCAAAAGGCTCAGCATTTGTTCTGGCAGCTGTCCATATTTTGCTTCCTCGCAGTCCTCTGGGTCTGAGGCTGCTGCTGTCTCCCCTCCTGCTCCCGTCCCACCACTTCCTCCCCACGTCCCGTGCCTGAGGTAGGACTCAGCTCATAATGACCCAGTTAAAAAAACACAGGTTATTTGTTTACGGAGCACATTGCACTCTCTGAGTCCAAAACAGCTCAGAGGGGATGTGGGGGCCCCTCCTTGGCTAAGTAAAAGTAGTTTCTGATACTCAGCAGCCTGAGCAGTGCTGGGGATGTGGGGTTTGCCCTGGGGTTGTGTGTGCAGGGGCTGTAGGGGATGGCAGAACCCCAGGAGTGCCACAGGGGATCCAGCAGGGACACAGAGGGTGTGGGGCAGGCAGCTGAGCCCCTTGCTTGGCCCTTTGTCTCTTCTGAAACAGGTGGTGAGTGGAAGGTAAAACAAAAGGGGAAGGAGTCAAAACAATTTCAACACAGGGAATAATTAATTTGCCATTTTTGATGATCTCAGACCCAGCCACTGTTGGATCTTGGCTGTTTTGACCTGTGATATCGATGGCCATTACAACTTAGCTTTCAAATTCCTATTTTCTTATAAAAAAAGAGGGTTACTCTACCAGTCTTCCCCTAGAAATATATACCCATTTCTATACAGAACAGTAGATTTTTTCAAAATAGATCCATAATGGCTTTCATGTTTTTGCCAGCTTGATTCAAACTGAAAATACTGATTTGGTTTGAAAATGTATAGAATCATAATAAAGTCTGAAAGTTACTGGTTTACTGGTTGTTTGAGTTTTTTAAACTTTCTAACTGGGAGTTATATGTCTTGTATAAATATAAAAGAAAAATGAAAATAATAAAAAGAGGGAATAGGAAAAATCAACAAGAAATACAGAAATGGTAAGTCTGTAAAAAGACTATATTAATTTTAAATCTTTTTCCCTAGAAAAATGAAACCTTTTACTACTCTAAGAATTTTTCATGGAAATTGCTGCATTGTCCACCCGACTATACTCAGCTTAAAAAAAAATTGTACTTCAAGAATACATTTTAACCATCACTCATAAAATACAGTCTTTTCTCCTTTTCAGTGCTTTCTCTCATATGTCAAGTCTCTGCCAGAAGTTCAAGGCCCTTCTCAGTGAAGAAGAAAAAAAGGGAATGAGGCAGAAGCGAGAGCAAGTGAGATTGAAAAAGGAGGAGAGAGGAACAGCCCTGACACAGCAGAACTGGGAACGGGTCCGTGTCCTGTTGAAAATCTCCAGGAGGAGCCACTGAAATCCATCAGTGTCCAGAGAGCCTGGCCAGCTGGGGTTTGGGGACACAGGGACACCAGGTGGGCAGGGAGCCACTGGCAGCATAGCAGAGCTCCCAGGGATGCTGTGAACCTGCAGGAAACACAACCAGCACCAGGCACCCCACGGGTCAGCCCTGAGAGGGTCCAGCTGCACCTCTGGACTGATACAGAGCTGGGCAGGGGAAAAGGGGAGGAGATTTCCAGCTGGCAATTGCCAATTAGCTGTTAGATTTTAATAGGGGTCTCAGTGATTTGTTGCTGCTGGTTCAGTGAAGCTTATCTCTCTCTACTTCTTCTTCTAGAAAGAAAAAACCCTAGCCAAAACTCTCTAAATATGGCCATCCTTCTTATGAGATTTTTCTTCTGGACAAGTGAGAACAAGATCTAGAAGGGTTTAGGGAAAATATTACGATTTTTTTTCTTCTCTTACAGAAATCCAGAAACGTGAGTGTTAACATCCATGTGAGAATATGTGGAAGCAAAGAACATGGATTAAAGGTCTATCTTGATAGAGTATTTTTTCATCCAGAGGATCCCAGTGGCATCTCCACCACCACTAACACTAATTTTACTGGAGGGCTATGAGCCCATTGTGAGTAAATAGGCAAGACACTGAAAAACAAGGTCCAAGGAACCAAACAGTGCCAAGAACTCCAGTGGAGAGGATCTCTGTGGGTAAGTACAGATATCCTGTGCTGGCTCCAGCAGCATTCCAACCAGTGCCCAGCCCTGCAGCTGCATCAGCACAGCACCTTCCCTGAGCTCAGAGCCCTCAGAAAGGGGCAGTGCCATGGCACATTGTGCACAGCCCCTGGCACAGGGCTAACCTGCCCCAAAGCCCCAGTTCCCAGCAGAACCCAGAGGCTACACCCACACAGCCCCACACACCTGGGGAGTCCCAGAAAGGGCACTTTGCTTTCCTTTTCTAACCACAGCTCTGACAGAAGGGCCCATGGGCTGAGTCCCATAGACTCAGCCCCCAGCCTTCTGCAGGCTCCAGTGATGGGCTCGCTCTGTGCCCAGACCTGTTCCTTTAGTGACAAAAGTCTCCCTTTTACCTCAACTTGTTATGGATCTGGTGAAACCTGGTCTTCTGTTTCTTTTGAAATCAGCAGGAAAAATCTAGTGGGATAGGATCAAATCTATTTCTCTGTCTCCAGCCTCTACTAAATGCCAGACTATCCTCATGCAATGCAACCTGAAGGCTTCCCCTCTGACCAGTCCTGTTCCTTCAGCCACTTGGCTTCCTCTGGTGTTTGTATTCTGGAGTCCCAGCAGCAGCAAAAACAGCTGCCAACATCCTGGGAATATCTGCCTTGGAATCTCAACTACTGTGTGAAGCTGCTGCTCTTCAGTTTGAGATTTGTGTTTGCAAAGGAAATCTGTCCAACAACAACACTGAGAGAGGAAAAAAGGAGGAAAAAGGGCTTTATATAACAGAATTAACAGAGCTGTTGCAATAGTAACGTGAAGTTGACGGGCAACTTTTCCTCCTCCTTCTCTGCCCCCACCCCGATCTCCTCTAACAGCAGCTTAATTTGTTTTGGTTTCCAAGCTTCTTTTACTGGCCACTCACACAGCCCCTCACCCTTTGTCTAATTTGGATCTCGAACTTCCATGCAACAGACTCTTGCTGTAACTGTAAATCTTTTTATGGTCCTTCTGCCTCTGAACTGTAAAAGCAATGCCACTGTAAGCTGCCTAAATGGGTCATAAATCCACTTAGTGCACTGATTGAGGAAAAAAAAAGATTTTAAGGGAAAGAAGGAAAAAAAAGACAAACTAAGGTGGCTGGAGGGACAGAGGAGAAAAAAAAAAACGAAGAATGAACTTGCTAAATGGAACCAAAATAACAGGAGTCAAAGGGAAAATATGAACACTGAGGTGGGGGGAAGGATGAAATAATGCATCTTGGTGGTAAAAACAAAGGGTTTCTGCAGGGCTGTGCAGTTCATTAACACCCAGAGATTTACGGGACGAGGGTGGTTGCCCTCTCCACTCCTGCTGGATCCACTGGGATCTGGGAGCACCAGGAGACTCTGGCAGCCTGCTGGCAGCTAATGGACTCTTTTTCCACTGGGTGGTCCAGGGACTGGTATCTGGGTCTAATTCCACCTCTTTTGCACTGCCTTCCTTCCAGGTTTAGCCATGGCTCTGCATCTCAATTTATTCCATTTTGTAAATGGGAGATAAAGATTTTCCCCTTGTTTGCAAACTGTTTTGAGGGCTGCTTAAATGCCACCAAGGAAGGGGCAGCACCAATTCCTGTGGCAGTCAATAGCAACACTTTAATTTGTTTCTGTAGAAGCAGAGCTAGCCCAAAATGGGCCACCTTTGTCTCTGTAATTTATTGCATTTATCACCATGGTATCTGAGCTCTAAGAGTATTATCCAAATTCCACTGAATTCACTGAGTGTCTTTCCACTGCTTTCAATAAGTTTTGGATTTGACCCCAAAGTCACAAAAAAACCCCAAACCTGAGCAATATGTCAAAAGAATGTAAGTGGGTGTGAGTTGAAATTGAGGAGTTTGGAGACGGGAATATGCAGAACAGTAGCTATTTAAAGACCAAGCTCGCTACTGAGTGTTCCCTTTTAATAAGGTTATATAAATACATTCCCGTTTCAATACATGTGGAAAAACAGGCAGTGAGGTGAGACTCTGTTGCTTTATTTCTTATGGGAAATATTGTGCATAGCTAAAGTCCCGCTTCCCCTTTCCTCACCTACCACCCAGAGTCCCTGGAAGCCTTCAGCAGCTGTGTGCTGTGTGAGGAGGCACATCCGGCAGCACCGACAGAGTTAAAAAGTTCACAGCTCTGCCCTTAAAATAAAGCCCCTGTTTTCACTGCATTCTCACCTTGCCTTACAGACTTGATCTGAGTTTTGGCACTCAACATGTCAGAATGGGAGGGGAGACTGGCTATGCCTTTTATTGTTATTATTATTTTATTGGTCTGCTTCTTTGCAAGGAAAAGAGGAGGGGGAAAAATGTTCTTGCTTGGCTCTTTGTGAAGAGAAACGGATTTCCGTACAGCTCCCCAGGCCTGGTGTGTCCCCCACTGAAAGCAAGTGCCCAGGTGGGCACCAGTTGGCATCTCAATTCCCATTCTCAGGACAAAAAGCCAGGAATAAAAGAGAACTGACAGGTTTTTCCCTACTGGCTGATAGCTCAGGTCAGGAGATGCTAATAGTATAAGTTAAAAGAATACTATTAAAATGATGGAAATCTTTGACTATGAAAGGTGGAGACTTCACCTGGATAGTAATTACATTTCAAAAGAAATCCATCTGGTATTTTATTGCTTATTTTCTCCATGCATTCTGTGTACAAGAAATACACAAGGTCTGGAATATTTCATATCCGGAGATTTCAAAAAAGCTGTTTTCTCTGTCAGGCCAATAAGCTACATAGACTTTTACAATATTATGTCAATTAAGGTAACAATTGGAATATTTTTTTTTTTTAAACCCCTCCTATCAACACTGGCACAGCTCCTTGGAGCAGGCAAACTCCATCAAACTCTGAGGAGTTCACATATAGAAAAAGTAGTGAAGTCTTCAGTGTCTGGAAAGTTTTACAGCTACAGCTGAAGTCAAGGGAATTTAATTTTTGCCATCACCAGAGCTGGAGCCATCTGCTGCACTGAGGACTGAGGCCTGTCTGCATGCAGGCAGTGGGACACAGATGTCCCAGGCTGCAGCCCAGGGCAGCTGGGGCAATCCTTTGGCCAGGTGAGAATCAGCTCCAAGATGAAGACTGTGCATGTTTTAGTGACACCAAGCTAGAGCCGGATTGGGCTTGTCTGCTTGCAAACCGTGCCTATATATTACAAAGTGCATTTTAAAAGAAAATCTATATAAAGTCTATCAGTCTTTAATCATCCTAAGAATGCAGCAACAGTCTTAAAATAAAATCACATACAGGCAGAACGAGCTGATGACAAGACGAACTCTCCTTCATTGCCAGCTCAAGTGATTTTGTTAATTCCTGTGAATATATTACAGGTCTCAAGATGACTGATGCTTTCATTACCACCTTGGCCTCAGCCATTAGGTGATTGTCATGAATCTCAACTTCCATTTTCAAAAGTTTTAGCTGTCACTATTTGAATAAATAATGAAAACAAAACTTAGAGGGGAAAATGTAAGGTAAACCCTACAGAAAAGCAGAAGACAATTAAAATTATGATTATATTAAATATTTCTTACCGATCCTGAACTTTTAATGATGATGTTTGATGGCTAGAATAGAGGTTACTGGCTAGCTGACAACAGCAATGTTACTGTAAATGAAACTCATGCAACAGAATTTGGCTATAACCCACACTTGCTTTAAATCTGTGCAACCTCTAGTACAGAACTAGGAAACAGTCACAGATTTAATTTACTTTTCACTTCTGATGCACTCTGCATATTGTGGGGGATATGGTTTTGGCAAGGAGTTTGCATTTATTAGCACGTATAAATATACCAAGAATGTTTGGTCTTGCTGTTAAAGCTCGTATCTAGAAGACAGGAATATGTCAGAAGCTGAGTGTCATTTTTAAAAGCAAGCTTCAAACTCATTTATTTCTGTTTAAATACTTCACAAATAATCCAACTCTACTCAAAAGAGTTGAGAAGGCAGAAATTAGACATAACCTGAAATATTATTTTTTTTTAAAAATCATTATTTCTAATATTTGGAAAACTGATTCACGATTTCTAAATAGTTGGAATTGCATTAACTCTTTGTCATCGTTTCACATAACACCCAGGTACAAGGACATATTTCTGTCTCCCTAACTAAATTGGAGAGAGAAGATTTATTGAAATAACGTGGAGAGCCACACTCCAGCAGCCCAGGTTCAATAGCAGATGCTGACACTGGCTGTCCCTGGCCATTCCTCTGCTGACATCCCTGCAGGCAGCACAAGGCCGAGCATCCCGGGCACTGTGAAGTGTTTGGGAAGATTCAGCTGAGAGATTTTGCTATGAACCATCCTGTGTGACCCTGGCACAGCCAACCCCAGGTCCCCTGGGAGAAGGGTAACATCACACTGGAGAGAACATGGCAAGTGATACTAAAATATTCTTATTTCTCAAGTTTTCAAAAAGCTGTTTAGAAGTGTTATAGTTCAGAGAAGCCTTTTATTCTTCCTTAAACAGGTTAAAAAACAAGAGATTTGGATGAAGATTTGTGCTGAGCTCTGAACTGCCTCTTTATTTCTGCTTGCTTTGTTTTACTCCTCTTGTCAATGTTTAGGATGAGAACAATTTATTTTGGGGTCAGCCTCAACTTTATTGTTCATGTCAGTTTATTTTGGATCAGATTCCTAAATCCATTTACTTCCACACAGAGCCTACTCAAAGTATTAAAAGGAGCTTTAATACTACAGAGCCTACTCACAGTATTAAAGGGAAGAAGGTTCCTCTCAGCTTGAGGAGAACCTGCTGCCCACGAACTCCTTCTCCTCTGGGCCATAACCTTTGACTCCTCCTGTGGGGGAGAAGGGAGAAATGCAATCAGGTGCAGAATTCCAATACACCCCTCCGGGGTGCCAGACATCCAATTTCCAAGCAACCATTGGAAAATCCGTATGGAATTTCATTTTTAATACGAAGCAACGAGGAACAGGAAAAGGCAGCAGTGAACACATGCCGTGTGTTACTCCTGCCTGGGGCTTGGGACAGGCTCTGAGCCTTTCCAGGTGCTCTCCTCTGCACAGAGCAGGAGCTGTGGGGAGCTTCAGCATGCTTGGGGTGCTCTTACATTTTATTTTTATGATTTTAACTAAGAAACTAGCTGCTTGGTCCATTTGAGGAGGGTACGGCTTTGAGACAGATGTGGAAATAATCTGAAAACATGAGGGTCAGGCAGTGGAACACTTCCAAGATTATATGAAACATTAAGCAAGTGAATGGAGAGCATTTTTTTTCCCATCTCATATTTCACCCCAATACTAGATTTCTCAGGCTTATCTTCATATCTGCATTATAACTGAACACTAATTGTGTTTCCCTTTGTATTTTTTTCTGTAGGTCCAAAAAGCTCCAATCTAGACCCTCCCCTTTCATACCAAAGAGTTGTTTTATTCCACCTCTGGCACCAGCTGAGCAGCCAGGGGCTGGCTGCAATGGCAGAGACACTGATGGACTGCGGGGACACGCTGCAGCCCATGGACCTCTGGAAATGAAGATGAAATGAGGCTTCGTTGTGTGCAGCACATTGATAAGATTTTGGCCCCCATTTCAGTGTGACCCAATAGGTTTAAATTGCTTCATTTCTCAGCCAGCCAAGAGCAAATGGGTGGTAGATGTGATATGGCTGTTCACTGGAAATCACCCTTGATTGATTTACCTTCTCCTCCTCGGCAGTGTATGGGCTCAGTGTGTGGCTGGGGCACATAAATTACAGAGAAAAAAACCTTTTGTGGTTGTGTATAGTCTATGTATGTTGTCACCCCATCAGAAGAGAAGCTTTTATGAAGTATTAGCTATAAGTGTATACAGAATAGAAATGATAATTTTTACTTGCCTGTCAGAAGCTAAGTCACATTTCAAATAATATTTGTCCATTAAAATCAAGTAGAACCAAATAACTTTGATTTTTTTTTTTTTTTTAGTTAAAGAAACAACCAGGAAATGCTGCTGGTGGTTATAAAAAAGTGAGAGATTTTTTAGGCTATTTTTGTTTGTTTGTTGAAAACTAATAAGAGCTGTGAAATTCAAAACTTTTCAGTTTTCATTAAAAATTTCAACAGTTTGAGGTTTGCTTTTGCCTTTTTGAAATAAGATACAAAGATGTTTCATTTTAATGTGTTTTCAGGGAAAAAAAAAAAAGAAAAAAAAAAGAAAATAAATTTCTACCAGCACTGTTACATTGTTATTTCTGGGGGCTGAATAATAAGAGATTGGAGAACTACTCCCAAGAATCATTTGGGTGATTTAAACACTTCACTGTGATTGGAACACAGCCTCATTCCAGGCTGTAATACTCACACTGCTACCCCTTGGACTGACAAGAGTCACCTGAACCCAGATTAAAAATAATTGGGATTAAAAACAGGGAATAAAGATAAGGGTTTGTCTCTGGTTTGTGCAGCAGATGAAAGCAAGGTCCTGATTGCAGACTGCATTTCCCAAGGACACAGCCCCGGGAATTGCACAGACAACAGCAGGAATGGAGCAGGGGCTCTGCTCTGGGCTGGCTGGGACACTGCAAAGCTGGGCTGTGGCTGGGAGGGGCAGCTGGGAGAAGAAAAGGGGTGAAAGGATCTCACAGGCCTATGCTCAATATTCATTAAAATTGGGGTTTAGATCAGCTAAATATGAACAAACATGCAAGGTGAGATTTTTAGATTCTTATCTGAGTATCCCCAGTGTTTAGGACACCTGAATTCCACTCACCTCTAACCAATCTGTCTCAAACTTGTTTTCCTTATGCTCAAAACTTCAAAACTACTCCAAGTGGGAAGACTTTTTTTGTTCCTACCCACACCAGCTCCCACTGAAGACAGTGATTTCCCCCCTCTCTCTCCCCAAAATCAGTATAGATTTACAAGTTTCAGATCTATTTTTAACATTTTAATGTCCCTTTGGTTCTGAAATCTGCCGTGCTTCTCTGGTTATTGTAAGGTAAATAGTGCATAACTGCTGACTGCAGAAACTCTGGAGAGTTACCATCACAACATTTGGTAATTAATAGTTACTTGTTGTTATAGGACACGAGAAAGCACAACACGAGCTACCTGCCACTTTGCAAGGTAAAAGAGAAAGTTTATTTTCTGACTCCAACTTTTATACTTCTCCAAAGGTGACAGTGGATTGGAGAGTGAATGTGCCACCTCTCTAAAGACATTGGACAAACCACTAGTACATCAAGTCTCTCCACCTTATGAAGGAATGCAAAACAACATGTTATTTACAGAAACTGTGTGAGAAAGTTTCCCAATAGAATATAAACTCAGAAGGCTTTAGAAAAACTCAAGAATTAGGGCGATAGTTACTAGCAAAAATTCATATCACTTTGGTGAAAGAAGAAGGGAAATTGATATATTTTAAACATAAATTATTATTCATCCAATGCAATATGAACTTCTGTTGCATAAAGACCATCCTGGCAAACCATTGCCAGAAATCCCTGCCAGTCTCCCAGGATCTCAACCAAGGCCTGCCCATTTTCCCCAACCCAAGCTCTGCCCTGAGCAAAGCACACCTGCCATAAATCCCAGAGCATCACCAGCTCTCAGCACCAGCTGGTAACGCTGTGGCTCGGGGTGATGTATGGGGATGTCACCAGCTCCCTCCCCTCCTGCACAAGCCCCTTTCCTCTCTCACAGGCATTTTTTATGGGCTCCAGTGAGTCAGGAGTTGCAGCTCTCTCTGCCAGCCATCCAGCTGGGGGACAGGAGCTGGTGGCAGCTGTCCCCTGGGGCTGGTGGGGACAGGAGGCTGCAGGAGGGAGGCAGGAGCCGGGCGTAATTAACGGGACAATTGAATGGGTTATGCCTCTCTGATTTCAATTAACCCCTGAACTTTGCAGTGACAAGATCTCATGGTTACCAACTAACTTCAGCAAAATCCAGATGTGGTAACTGGTTAATCCAAGGTCTCAGGGTACAGCTGGGCTTTGACGAGGCTCTTCTCAGATCACTTAACACTCACCGAAAGGAAAAGGAGGAACTGTGGGTCTGAGGATTTTATCAGAGCTGGAGTATGATTTGTCCTCATTTCAAATCCATAATGGGAGAAAAATTCAGTAAAGAGATCCAGAGAAATATATTAATGGCATTTAGGACACAGGCATTCAAAGCTTGCAACACAGATTAGTGTAAACAGTCAGATGAACAACAAAAAAGATCTTTGTTCAAGAAAGACTGAGATAAGCACAGAGCTGACATCAGAGAACAAACTAATCTGGCTATGTTAGGAATAGAGCTTCCCATTATTTACTAATGTATTTTAGAGAGCACTTTTCAGTTTTAAAATCAGCACAAAGCTTTAGAGTTTCAATACAAGAGGTTCTTCTAAAATCCTCTATGAACTACAAAGATTTCTAGCTTACAACAAAGCCACCACTAAGAATTAATATCTCTCAAAAGAATGCAAATTTTTAAAATTAAACATATTTTCATTGTTCAACCTTTTAAATTCAGATACTAGAGAAAAAAAATCCTGGTTTTGCTGGCCTTTATTTTCAACATAATTTTGCCACTTAAATTGTTCACCTTCTTTGAATATTGAAATAGATTTAGTCCTGCTATCACTAATAGGGCCGCAATGGCCAGAGGATAAACTGTTATCACTTTGACTATTGGTTTAAATTAATTTGTTCTTAATATTTAAGCAGTTATACATGAGAAACTAATCTGAATTTATGATAGCAGATTATGCATTTTCATGTAATTGCAGTTACAGCACCAGGTATGAGAGACACACAAAGGAGTTGAAGCAAAACCAAAGGTTACAGTGCAAAAAAGATCATAAATACCAGAAACTATGACCAGACTCAGAACACCTCAAACAGATGTGTTATCCCATAAGCAATTTCAAGCAAATTTGAAAACAAAATCGGTGTTGATGACTGGATAATAAGCCTCAAATACATTAATAAAACTATAAGTTTAAAAAGAAAAAAGTGCAAAAAGATTAGAAATTTATTTTTAAAAAATCCCGATTGAACAGAGCAAACTATTGTCAAACACTACTAGGACTTTGTTATGCAGTTCTTCATAGCTTAAATACCACAATTCATCAAATTAATTGCAAGCCTGAAAATTCCTTATTCACAACATTAAATAACTACATTTATTAACTAACTTATTGCAATGAAAATCTCATTTCCTGGGCTGATATCATAGTGTGTTTTTATCCTAATGAATTTAAACAGCTACAGTAAACACAAGCCAAAAGTCAAAGCTTTTGTTAAGCAAAATATGACACTTTTAATATGTAAGAAAATTCTTTCAGACACTTAAAGATGCCCATGTCAGAGCAGACTTCAGTTCCTTACACATTCCTCGCCCATAAAGGCTCATATCCCAGTGAAAGAAGCATCTGGCTCTTCTCCCCTAATCAATAACATTCAGGAAAAGTCCCTTCTTCCAGCAGCAGCATAAATTACAAGATATATGCAAATAGACTTGCTAATGTTAATTGCCAGGGCTGATTAGTGATTAATTTTTTGATTATGATCAATCATTCTGCAGGAATTTTAATAAGACATTCCAGGCAATCTGCAAATTGATAATAATTAGGGATCCCAACCGGTAACACATCCACAGCCAAGTAAAACACATCCCTGTGATTGAACATGTTCCTGTAAAAAACAGGCTCCAGCTTGGGAAAAGAGAAAAGGAATGATCAAAAGCTCCAGAGCTTGATGGGACCATGGTGTCATCTTAACAAGAAGTTCCTTTTTTGCCATTTTTAGGCAAGATGCACTTTGGTGTCCTCTAGCACAACTAGCCAAGTTCTTTGTGTCCCTCAGATGGTCAG